GGATTCTGCACAAGTACATAAATTAGATGTATTTGCCTTGGAATTAAATCTGTTGGCAAGTGGAGCTTTAAAAATAAACTGAAGTAAATTGCACAAAGGTGGACTGAGTAAGACTGGACAGGCACTGATAATTGTTAACTGAATAAGAAGGGTTTGGATAACCTAGGAAAACATACCACTTAAATGTTTAAAGGATAGACATTATTTGGAGACCTTCATAATCATTTTTCATACATGGAATATCAACAGTGTTTTCAGACCTGAACAAAAAAAAAGTGCTGAAGAGAAAACAGACTAATATTTTATTGACATATTAAAATAGTCGATTCTTCAATTTCAACCTTAATAGTTTTATTGAAGTCATATAATGACTATTAGTCTTAGCATCTTAAACAAAACCAGAATTGGTCTTCCACTATTAAGTGATAACCATTCCTTCTAATTCACACTGTGACCTCTCCCATGTTTTGAAAGCATAAGAATCTTTAAAAAATATGCAAAATGGTTACATAACATTTTTAAATTATTAACTTCTTTATGTGGTTTAGACAGAGTTGGAGATATAAATGCCTTATGTAAGGTCTTATATTATTAAAGAGGACAAGTTTTAGTGGTGTATGTTCCAACATTCAAGTGTTGGCTCATAATTACTTAAGAGATCTGAGTGTTTTTGAGTCTAGTATGGACAACTCTGACATATTATTTTGATTATAGTTATCAGTGGTTCAGACTCTGGTTGTATGAATTTTACTTAAAAATGTCTGGCAACCATGAAAAACTTTATCCAATAAACGGTATGTTTGAAAAAGCTTGTGTCGACGGGGGAAATACCGTCTGTAAGTCAATATTAAGTGGAGCCTCCCATCTAAAAAAAATAAAATAAAAATAGTAAAAAGATATGCTTCCCACTAAAGGTCTACAAACATTTCCTGATTTCAAATGCCCGGACAGCAGTTGATGAAATGCTTCAATCTTGTCATCTTGTTTAATCTTCCACTAACCACATAATGAGGTTAAGAATTGCTCTTTACAGTGACAAGACTCTGCAAACATCTACAGTGCCATGCCTACCTAGAAGAAATACATTTCCGAGACACCAAAATGTCAGTCTGACCATTTCTTTTGACTATTGAAAAGAAAAAGAAAAAAAAAAGGTCAATGTCCTTCACTCACTTCACTTTTCCATCTCATCTCACATTTTTATTATAATACTAGAGAAGCAGCAACCTCGGATTGAACCATGGTCATTCAATATGAGGCAGCCTCTTTACAAATCAAGCCAGAAATATTCCATTGTGTTGACCTCCTTAGTTTCTTTACCTACGTCACTGAAGCCTAAGACAAGATACTGATTGATTGCTTTCAGCAGGGAAAAGGGGACAAAAACAGTGACTGAAAAAAATAAAAGAGGGATAAAAACTGGACCTTGTCTTTTTTTTTTTTTTTTTTGTACTAAAAAAAAAGAGCCTCAACTTAATTAAAGTGGGATACGAAAGATCTTCCAGTAGGTAATTAGTTTGGGTTGGTAAATAAATGGCTGCTTACTCTTATTGTGCATATATTTTATTAAACAAACATCTTTTTTTGTTTATTTTTCACTTTTCATTTTAGTCTAATTTAATTATTCTATACAAATGTATGTTTATCCATTTGGAAAGAGCTGTAGACGTGTGAGCATTCCTTCCATCTCCTCATCTTCAAACTTCAGTCAAGTACACCAGTCCTTTCAGGAAGAAGGGACCAAACATCAACTAAACTACTTTGAAAGGTGTCTGGAAGCATCCTTATCAATAATTGTTTGCTCTTTCTGTGTCTGATCTAAATTGGTTTAATTTGACAATTCCTTTAACAGGGTTTAAACAGGAAGGAGGAACTCTAATTTAATGCTTTTTAATGCTCTTAGAAATATATATATTTATATACCTTTTTCTGTGCCTCGAGCTTCTGTTCCGAACAAATGGCTTTAGGATCAACCAGGAGCAGTTCCACGCAAACACGTAGAACCAGTTAAATCTGATATATTTTACAAAATTTCTATTATTTTTTTTAATAAAGCATTTTAAATGCCATGATAGTCACATTTAATGAATTTCAATGCCACTGAAGGCCTTAATAAAAAAAATAATAATTTAATGACTTTTAATGCTTTTTAATGACCCGCTGAAACCCTTTTTAAGGAACAACATTACAACCATCACTGTTGCTAAGTGTAATACGATCATCGGAAATATTTAGAAAGCATCTTTAAAGCAAATATAGGCACCTCTTCCAGACAACAGGTTTATCAAATTTCTGAATTCACCAAACTTGCGGGACAGAAAATGGTTATGTTTTCCTTTTAAGTTCCTAAGATTTACTGCGGTTAATTTAAAATGTTTTCACTCCGAGTTACGTGTGTGTACCAGCAATTGGGGATAAAAAAGCCAGTGTCAATGAGGCTTTCATACTTTGACTGACCATGGCAACGGCTAAATAAAGAAGAGCAACTCTGTTTAAATATAACTGTGCAAAAAATATCCTTCAATTAGCAGACTGGTTGACATTTGATTTAATAGTAACTAACTCTTCCGTGATTGAATTGAATATCTCTTTAATGCATCTTTGGTACAGTAGATGAACATCTGGCTCTGATTGGTAGAGTACTTCTTTAACAGGTGCTACATTTAAACAGTGATCAACAATTAAAAACTTCTATATTTTTTTAGCTTTAGCTTTGACAATATATCAGATGAAATTGTTCCCATGAGTCACTTTGTATCACAGAAAGACACGTTATAGATTTTATTATGTAGTTGAAATGAATCACAAAACAGTGATGACTGATACATTACTAATGTGGGTGTGCTGAAATGACTGGATGACGGGCTGATTTCTTATTCTGTCCTGGACAGCCGTCTTACAATGTATTTGCTAATACCTCATAGACATTTACTGCATTTAATATGCAGACACATAGCAAATACACCTTGTAGCCTTTTTTCCAAAGAGGGCTTTCAACATCCAAACCAACAGTTTACAACAGCAAGCCCAAATTCAAACCAGCACTCAAAAAAAATCAATAACAAAATAATTTCGTCTTTAGAACTTTTCTTTGCCTGCAGTTTGGCCATATAATAATTTTATGGAATAATCTCTGTGTGAGCCTTGGTTTATTAAAACACTATATCTCAAATAAATGTTATGAAAAAATAAGATATTATGTTGAATCAATGGCCGCAGCCACAGTGTTTTTCTCAACATACTGACTTTATAAAACACTGGTCTTTAAGTATTTCTATGTGGTTCTTTGAAGTTTTTCCAAGTTTAGAAGCCCTGTTTTATGGGCTGCAATAGTACGTCTAGTATTACCATCCTCCATCAAGAAGAACGTTAGAAGCTATTAAAATATGACTAAAAACACTGGATGCACATAAAACTTTGCATTCAGATTCGATAGAGAGCTTTCAGCATATTTCTACGATGAGGATTTCTGCAGCTCACAAGCCAAAACAAGAAAGTTTAATATCCAAGGCACACTGAAGACTGTTTTATTCAAGGTCGATTAGGAAGAGGATCTCTTTTTTTTTGTTGCTTTTCTTTTAAAACACAATCTAAATCCTTTAAGCAAAAATGATACACATTATAAAACAGGGCGAGTAAAACATACTAGAACAAAGCTTTAAAACACCAGTGAACTACTACATTTCCTTCTTATGCATTAAAGAATTCAGATTCTATGCTGATGATAAGTAAATCATTATTCAGTGTGTGTGGCCCAATGTATAATTACCAATCCAATGTTTGACAATTAAATAATGACTAGTGCCATTTCAGACATGTATTGTGGGCGCCACAACTGCAGAGCTTCAAGCGCATTGAAGTCATAGCAACAAGAAGAATGATGCAGAGAATAGCAAGGCTCAACATGCAGGAGGCAAATCCCATTAAATACATGGGAGAATATTACTTAGGAAGCAGAGCTGCCTTTACAACCTTGTGCTTTTTAGGTGTTTGGACTTGAAATTACGCTACTTGTGTGGTACGACTAGCCTCACCAGCAATCAACAGTTTGCATAAAGGATTTACTTTCCACAAGCCGCAGGAATAGAGAGGAGTGAGAAAATCCTCTAACCCTATTGTGTGGATGGACTGCATAGGCTGGAGGGGTCTTTTACTCAGGCTCGCAATAATATTGGTTAATTGCTAGATTTCTCAAGTCTCTCTCAACTTGCATCACGATTAGGCATGAAGCGGTTTACAGCAGGGGTATATTGCTGCTGACAGAATACAGCGTTCTCATTCTTGCTCTCTCTCTTAATTGTCATTCCCCTGCTCACAGGCACATTTCTCCAGCAGATTCCCTTGAGAGAGGTTTCCCCAGAATCTACGTAAAAGGATTCCTTCCCACGCCATGGTCTTAGGAACATCTCATTTTCATCCGCCCGCGCCTCGCTCATGCACACACACGCACTCCCTCTCACCCTGGCACTGGGTCCTCGTGTCTCCCTCCTCACTGTCTTTTTTCTTCTTTTCCCTTCACTTCTGAAACACCCATTGCCACCCCCTCCCTCTTTCCTATAACTTATGGATCCTCCGTGGGAGGCAGCATCTCCCTCACACAACAGGCGTGGGCTCTCCTCTGACAAATGACATGCCGGGCCCACCAGCTTTGCGTGGGGGGAGAAAAGCTTTAAGTTAAGAAGGAAGGATGGATTTGATTGGATGCTGCAACTCATGGGCTGTATCTTGGCAAGCTGTATTGGATTGGTCTCAGGGAAGAAGTGAGAAATGGATGGAAAGCTGCAATGCTGCTGTTTATCAAGCCAACAGTATGTTTTAAGGGAAAGAAATGACCATAAAACCTAACACTCCTCACAACTGCCAAGCTGTCAACTGTTACAATATAAAGCAGAGGTAAAATATTAGCCATGTGACAGCATAAACATTTGTCTAGACAGTGTGTGGCTTTAAGTCCAAACTTGTGTCCAGGTATATTCGGACTTCTGCACTAAATCACTCACAAGTGCTGCTTGGCTAGCTGCTGAGCCAGAGAAATAGCTTCGGGATCTCGATCCAAGGCCAGGACCGTGACTTCAGGAACCGTGTTTAGTATCGCTTTGGTATGACCACCACCACCGAATGTCATGTCCAGGACCACCTACATGCGAGAAAGAGAGAAAACAACACATTCATCTCACAACAGGGCTCCGTATTGCACGATTCATCATGGTCACAATGTTAGCTCATTATTTAAGTATTTCTTTGACAGCAGTTTACAGTCAAAAAATGTTTTGTCTCTCTTATTTCAAGCAACACAAAATCTAAATGACAAAATGAGAAAAAAAATTAAATATATAACATATACATATATCCTTACTTTCTTCTAAAGTAAGATGGCTTTTTAACAAGGTTTAATAAGTTTATATCCCTATGCTTAGTTTGACCCTTTACATCTTGTTTAAGTTTTGACAAGTAAAAATATTACTGAGCTAACAAGCATGACACGGCTTGTGTTTGTTTAATCATTCTTGAAATTGGTTATAATCTCCAGCAAGTTCTGGAAAATGTCAGAGATGACAGTGCGTTATTTCCAACAACAATAGTTAATTTGCAGGCTAAGTCGGTCATTAATCTTCTTCAGAAACCAAATTAATTGCTTCAAAATATAAAATCACCTTGCCCTCAGTTAAAACTGGAAAAAATCAAAATAAACTTAAATTAAAATGACAACTAAGCTTCGCTCTATATCGAACATACATGGTATAGGTACATTTATTCATCTAAATTGAAAACTGGGATCCTGGAATCCTACAAAATACACTTTGCCGATAACACATTTGATAGGCCATTATATTGCATATTTTTGCAAAAAGTATATTTGGTCAATTCTAGTGATAGACTTTTCATGGTTAAAAAATTGTTAAAAGTACCAGATCGTTTCATCCATACATTGCAATATTCAAAACTTAATAATGAAATATCCTGTTTTCCTAAAAATCTTGTTTTTTGCATACTTGTCTTTGTGATAAATTGCTGGCATTAGAGCTGCACAGTGTTTAAACCAAAAGAATATTCAATACATGTACTGCTATCTGAAAGGACTGTTTGGTTGCAGTATTTGGTAGTCTATAATTCAGGTGCCATACATTAAAGTTTGTCACTAATATACATTATTTGTTCAAATCAATGAGTGTTTGGTGGCTTGCAGGCAAGTCTGCTTTAGCCCTTTAGACCAAAAACCAATTACCGGTACTAAAAGAATACAGGGGTGATTGCAATGACCAGAGAGTGAGCCAACAGTTTAAAACAAATGCTGGTTAATCATAACTGGTACTGTCATTGCAGGATTTAACAAGAATGCTGTAATTTGGGTTTCCTAATATTGTGCACCCTTAGATGAAATCTCAGCTCAATGTGCAGTGTAAACTGGCTAAGGTCTTGCAAGTTTGTTTTTATTTTCTTGGCAAATGAATTATCTGATTTCCGCTTGCTTGTAACGGCAGCCAAATTATACAGCCAGCTGCTGACTAGTAGAAAGGTAATAGGAAGTTGGATCTTAATAAAGAGCAACCCTGAAAGGTACCTGGAACATCCTGCTGAGGGAAGTAATTTTAAGTAGATTTAATAAGATTTTTTTTCTCAAAAAAGGTAAGTAGAATAGGTAAATAGGTAAGGTAAATATGTAAAAAAGGTAAGTAGAATAGGTTAATAGGTAAAAACTGGTAAGTAGAATAAGTAAAAAAGGTAAGCAGAATAGGTAAAAAAAAAAAAAGGTAAGTAGAATAGTGACACTACACATATATACAAGAAAGAAGTTTATATGAAAAAAATTGTTGTGATAAAAGGGCCTAGGGCCAGAGTGCATGTAATGTGGTAGATAAAAACTGTAAGTGCCCCATGGAGAGAAAACCTCGAGGCCAGGTTGAGGAAACTTGTTGAAGCTGGCTATTGCAGGTACAGGTGGCTATACAAGCAGATAACCATGCAGTAAAACTTTTGGGTTTTTTTTTGTTCTGTTCAGGACAAGGGTTGTGGAAAATTGCATCCCTAACTCCTTTTAAAATCTCTCCAAAACATAAAACTTCAGTGTCACATGAAAGCTGATGAACTTTTAAGTTGTTCACTTCCTTTTGGCAGGAAAAAAAAACAAACCCTTTGGATTAAATTTGGGTTGAAACCTTCTCCTTGGTCAAACTACCTCTTTGATGACTTTCATAAATGTAGTTATCTATATTTAAGGTGCAAAATATTTGGATTGGTAGAAAGTTTTAATCTACAGTAACGTCAAACAGGAAACAAGAAGCATTAAACCACAAAACTATCAGTGTAGATTTGCTGAAGGGTAATTTTAACAAGTGTTAAGTCTCATATGTTTTCATTAATACATGTCATCTAGTCTGCCATAAGACTGCAATGATGTAGTTTAGGAACTGAACTTTTACGATTTGCCATCAAACCAATCTCAAATGAAGTCATTTCTTATCTTTGAATCTTTTATCAAATAATTTTTAATCTCTGATAATTGAAGTAAACAAGCAAAAAAAAGCCCTTTTCTGCCCCCCAAAAAACGTAATATCCGTTTATTTTGCCCACAGCTTCAACTTATTTTTATCCTCACTTTGAGTGGAGAGATCTGTATGATTATTCATAAAACATCTTTTAAATCTACATTTCGATAATTTTTTTGGGGCAAATATAAAGGGTCATTTTGTTCATATTCCACTTAGCATACCTGGCATAAACTGATGAAATTTCTGTTATGTTAACCCACAATATCAGAGCGCAAAAGCAACTACCTGTTTCCTTTGAAAGCTGGCTTGATGAAGGAAGAATCAATTAGACCCGCTGGCATCTACCAGTCTTTAACTGACAAAACAGAACGGCAAAATAAATGATGAAAATAAAACAGACTGGATGAACCCCATAATGCAGTTAGAATTTTAGCGTCCCACAGTTCTTCTCTTTTATACATATTTCAAGAAATGTATGCATGCAAAATGCCAATTTAATATGGGAACTAAGGTTTTAGCAGAGTATAGCAGATTTTCTGCTTTTTATTTCGTAACTTCTAAACTTTACAAATCGGCAAACACATTTTTTTTTGCTTTTTTCAAAGGAAACTCAATGACATATTGTCATAATCAGTTAAAGTGTTACAAACATTACCGTATTAATCGAGTCACTGGAGAGAGGGAATGGTAAAATGAGCAATAACTGTCAAGCATTATGCACCATATTTACTGTTAGCTGGGTCACTGTCTCTTCTGCATGGATAACACACAAGAAATCTCCAATTCAGAACTCAATTATTACATGAAAGATAGTCCTGTCTAGGCAATCAGACAAAAAAGGAGCTATCAAGTTTTTTTTTGTTGCTTATTTCTCTCATTTCCTCCTTTGTTATACTCTCATTGATGAGTATGAAACAGATGTGAAATTGTTCTAAAGCGAAATGCCACCTTTCTTTACAAAAATAAACATTAAACATGCTGATCGATAGTGACGTTGAAGAGAGGGCGTGTGCGTGCATGTGTGAGGGAAGAAGTGATCAATGGCGGTTCCCTTCTCCTTTCCAGCGCGCAACAGCAGATGGGGAGGGGGTGTGGGCTAGTGGGATGAGTCACACGCATAATGAACTTGCCTGTTGTGCTATTCAATAGAGAAAAAAAAGTGAAAACGAAAACAGAAACACATAAAGCAAAGTAGGCTGTTTCTATAAAAATCATTGATACAGGTAAACCAGGAGGCAAACTGGGTCTCTACAGGAGTGAACAGAACCTGTCAAAAACAATTTTTTTGCAAAACTGTAGGAAAACTGTGGGCTTGAAAAAAATCCAGCTTTTTTTTTTTTCAATGATCGAAATAATGGAAAACTGATCCATAATCTTTTTAGAAGTGGTAGCCAGTTTTTAACCCCTGGGAGCATCTTAAAATACCGGAAAAACACCACACCTCTCTAAATTTTCATTAAAATAAAAATAAAATATGAAAATTGCATGTTTAGTAAGTCTTTCAGAAGAGCTTAATTGAAGATAAAAAAAAAAAAAAAGAAAAAAAAAAAAGAAAGAAAAAAACACTCCTTAGAGAAGATACAGCAGCTGGAAAAAAAATATCCTCCTTCTACTATGGCTGGCAGATGGACAAAACAACTCCTTGAAAAGATTTGGTGATAATAGGTTTGGCATTTGCAAAGATGACTGACACCAAACTTGGGAATGAGTCATTCACATTGATATTTCATACAGAACAGTGCCTGCAAGGCCTTCGCCTATATGTGCCTTCGCAAAGAGGGCAGCTGGCTTCCAGAGCACAAAGTGGGAGATCTTGAATGCTCTAATACTCTGATAGAAAAATAAATATTAAAAAAGGTAATTGCTCCTGTCTGCTTCATACTCTTTGAGAGGTGTGCAATATCTGCCTTTCCCAGCAGAGGGAACAGAAGAGTTAGGAGAGGTCCGAGTTGCACTGAAGCTGCAAAGTGCTCTAATGCAGGACATTTAAGCAGTCATCACTCAGCATTATTAATGGGGACTTGTCTCTCCTGAACAAAAGCAAAGCTATATTAAAGATCCTATTTTGAACTGCTTAATGAATACAACTGAATGCAGATTTACCTGCCTGTTTGGGGGGGAAAAAAGTCAAATTTTAACAAACAACAAACAGCATGTGCAACAGGATATTATTTCAAGACCATGTGGCAAACAAGACCCTCATCTCAAGCTTTCTTGTGGTTGAATTCATTAGGAAAAGGGGAGCAGGAACCTGAGAGAAGCCAGAGTACTCACCTAAATCCTACTTATGACTCCCCAGCCCAGGTCAGTTACAGTGGGGGATCTAAAATGTCATTGAGGGGAGTTTTTACAGATCTTGTTACACCAACACACAGACCATTAGTGAGACAGATACACAGGTACAGGATCGCTTTTCTTGTCGCGTCCGTTGTCATGGTAAGACTGGAGGTAACCGGTTTGCATTTCTTTCTCTGTCACACAAAGTTCATGGCAAGTTACAAGTGTGAACAAATTTGGGGGATTTGCAGCATAAGAGCACTGTACAAAAGGCTAGATCTGGAAGTCTGCAATAAAGAAAGAGTTTTTGGGTCCACTAATTGCTAACAGAGAGCACTGCATGTCGCGTAAATCTCACCCTTAAATCTGC